GTTTTTTGGACATCCTGATAATAATGAATTGCAGCAGTCCAGCGAATGATGTGGCTGAAGCTTTTGTAACAACAGCTAAACACAAAAAACACGAAGCTTAACGTTTAAACCTACAGAAGCAGATGTACAAGTACAATAATGCTGTGTGTGTGTGTGTGAGTCTGTGTATGTTTGTAACATAAGATTTTTTTCTATATCACCAGACACTTGTCTTAATTACTTTTGGAAAGACACAAGATACACATTTCTGGGACTATGAAGCTATTTCACACACACACAGACACACCCTTACCCTATAACTGTAACCTAATTGTAACTCTGACACTAAAACCACATTTTGAGTGCCAAAAATGCCTTCAAACTCGTGGGGACCAGGATTTTGTCTCTATAAGGGCTGTTGGTCCACACAAGTATAGTAAACTTTCCAGTTTTCCCCATAAAGATATGTAAACAAGGTCACACACACACACACACACATAATCATTAAAAAGAAGTGTCTGATTATGTAGAGAAAAGCTTATGTTAAACACACATATGATGGTACTTCACATCATATATAGATAGATGTGAAATACCAACATGCTCACTCTCACGGTCTGTTTAAATTCTCAGAAAACTGTATCTGAACCACAGACACCGCTGGTTCTAGATTCGCTGATTCTGGATTCAGATATTCAGACTGAGCTGACAGATAAACACAGTGAGTCTCCGACTGTGAAACACAAACGCTCTCTGAATGAGCCAGAACACAGTAAAGTGTCTCAAGCTGAGCTGGCAGAGCTACACAACATGACCCTAGCACATTTTAAAGGAACATCATGACTCATCATGACTCTGAGTTCTTAGTAAACTTTGTTAGTAATGTGTTTATTGAAAATGAAGTAATGGAGTAATCTCCAGAGGTGGGAAGTACTATACTTGTGTATTTATATTTATGACAACTTTAAACTCGTACTCTCTACTTTTAATACAAATATCTGGACTTTCTTATATTTCTAAAGCAGTTTGAACGCAATTGAGGTGAGACATTATTTGACGTCACTGCACGCCGCCGAACATCAAACATCGACCCATAGAAGACTCTCCTGCTGTTGTGTCATCGTTGGTGCTCATCACAAGTAGAGTGAAGAGCACCAAAGTCCTCGGTGTTCACATCACAGAGGACCTGTCCTGGACCAGCAACACCAAATCAGTGAAAAAAGCCCAGCAGAAACTGCACTTCCTGAGACGATTGAAGGTGTGCCTCCCAGAAGCCGTCCTTAACACAGAGGCACCACAGAGAGCGTCCTAACTAGCTGCATCACAGTCTGGTATGGAAACTCCCACACGTCCAACCGCAGAGCCCCTCCAGAGAACTGTGCGGACCGCTGAACACGTTATTGGCAGCTCCCTACCCAGTCTACAGGATATTTACACCTCATGCTGCGTTCTTAAAGCCACTAACATCATGGCTGACCTGCATCATCCCTCCCAGTCTGCAGTATCAGGAGCAGGTCGGCGAGATTGTGAAATCGTTTTTTCCCCCAAGCGGTCCGACTCCTGAACACAACACTGGACTCTCTTCTCTCTTCTCCACACACTTCTTAGACTACATAACACTCTCCCCTCACTCCCAATACTTACACTATTGTGTATTGCACTGTTCCACTCTGTCAGTGTACTATTGTATTTATTTATTCTCATTTGTTTCTATTTCTATTCAAGTACAACACAGTTGTACTTATTTGTAGTTTATCTTTTCTCTGTATCAGTTGTGTTATATGTATTTATATATATTTATTATATATATATATATATATAAGGTATACCTTATATCTAGTAGACTATTATATAGTATAAATATATATATCTACGAGCTGTGAAAGAGCTCTGGACTTCTTAAGTTGCTTGAAGACGTTTCACCTCTCATCCGAGAAGCTTCTTCAGTTCTAAGGTCAAATGGTGGAGAGTCCCAGATATAAACCTAGTGGGAGTATCCCCCCACAGAGGGACAAAAGGACCCCCTGATGATCCTCTAATCCCTGAGCCAAGGTGTGAAACTGGGTGTGGGTCCCAATCAGCCAGAGTTTCGGGTGAGTTCATTGTGAAACCTGGCCCCACCTTATCATGCGAATTCCTGAGGTCAGATGGCCCAGGATGTGAGTGGGCGTTAAGGCGTCTGGGAAGGGATCTCAAAACTGGATTATAGATGGCAGAGAGTTGGTGTCGTAAACCCCCGCCTCTGTTCAAAGATGGTCGCTCACAGTGGACATAGATGGCTTCTTTCACTCCTCTTTCAAACCATCTGTCCTCTCTGTCCAAAATGTGAACATTGGCATCCTCGAAAGAGTGTCCTTTATCCTTAAGATGCAGATGGACTGCTGAGTCTTGTCCTGTGGAGGTGGCTCTTCTGTGTTGTGCCATGCGCTTGTGAAGTGGCTGTTTGGTCTCTCCAATGTAGAGGTCTGGGCATTCCTCGCTGCACTGTACAGCATACACCACATTGTTAAGTCTGTGTTTTGGCAGTTTTGTCTTTCGGGTGAACCAGTTTTTGTCTGAGCGTGTTGCTGGGTCTGAAATGCACCGGGATGTCATGCTTGGAGAAAACTCTCCTGAGTTTCTCTGATACACCGGCTACATAGGGGATGACAATCCCCTATGTAGCACTTTAAAAGCAACACATGGGTGACCAAAGTGCTGTGCAGCAGAAATATACCATATAAGTACCATATAAGTATAATAAATAGAATGAATAGATTACAGTAAAACAAGTGTCAGTTACCCACTGAGTTGAAAGCCAGTGTCTAACATTGAGTTTTTAACCTGAATTTATAGACCACCACTGAAGTAGATTGCCTAATGTGAAGAGGAAGCTCACCCCAAAGCTTCGGGGCCACAACAGTCACACTCAGTCTCCTCTAAGTTTCAGCCGCGATTTAGGGACTGAGAGAAACAGCTGCTTAGCTGACTGGAGTGAAAGAGGGGGGGCATAGGGCTTCAGCAGATTGGACAAGTAAACAGGTGCAAGAGTATTAAAGAGGGATTTAAAATAAATATAGAGAAAGACGGACAGGAGAGAAAGAGGAGAGCTTATATTTAACAGTGAGGTCTGATGAGTGATATGATCCAATCATCTTGCAGTTGCAGTTCTTACCAAGTTGTACGAAGCATGCCAGGACACAGATGAGTAGAAATTTTTGCAGACCGAGCATGATGCTAGCATGTGTTTGTAGGAGTGTTGAGGTGAACTTTTATTGAGCAGTTTGCTTCAGTGGAAAGTACGATTATCATATGTGGTAAATGTGGCTTTCAGCTGCATCCTTTACCCAGTGTAAGACTGAAACTGGTGTTATCATCATGTTCATCAGCTTATCGCTGTGAAACACACTCATCATGTTTAGTCGTCATTATTTTAAGCTCTTATAATAAGAAGTTCCCACCCGTTGATCCTCATAGAGCTGAAACACTGAAAAATTAGCTGCTGAAGATGGAAAGCATGAGAGCTACATGTCATCCTTTTATAAAATTTGAAGCTTCTGCTTCTGCTACTTTACCACACTGCTCTATACGCATATTTAGCTACAGGTGTACCTACACAGGTAAATAAATATTGCTTATTTAGTGTCTGCAGTGTTAATCAGAAAGTTTTAAATATTCTTCATTTAAATCTTTAGTAGCTGTATCAGTCTGTGATGGCTGGTTGCCCACGGCTGGTTTTGAAGAAGCGGCGGAGGTTTGCTCTGTTTGCTTTTATATTTGGTGTGACCTTGGGCGTGACCTGATTTTCACCAAGTTAAATCAGCACAAGCTGCTATTGGTTTCTGTCATCACATAAAATTTTAACATTGTTAAACAACTATTATTAATTATTAATTACTCTTTGGTGTAGATCATACGGAGCCCCGCAAGGGACATGGGAGAAAAAAAAATACGATGAACTTTTGCGAGATCCCGAGTTTGTTGAATTCCAACAATGGCAACAAAACAAACTCGGGATCTCCCAAAAGTTTTGTGAGATCTCGCAAAACAAACTCGCAAAAGTCCGTCTTTATTTTTTTCCCCTCCCATGTCCCCTGCGGGGCTCCGTAATATTACAACTAAGTAGCTGCCGCCATTGTTGGAATTCAACTTTTGCGAGATCCTGAGTTTGTTTGCGAGATCTCGTTGCAAAACTAATTCGAGATCTCGCAAAACTTTTGCGACATCTCGCAAAACAAACTCGGGATCTCGCAAAACTTTTGCTGGGAGACATGTTAATGATTGAAAACATTCCAGAAATTCACAGCTGCTCGATCACTTGAAGGTGAAGCAGGAAGGATGTGGAGGTGAGATGATGGAAGCACAGCTGTTTTTATTTCTGCAGCTGCGTTCATCGAGCCTGGTGATGGTTTAAAAGCTTTTAGTCACAGCAGGGCGAGCACAGCTCATGCTAACAATGTGACAGTGAGCCTGGATGCTTGAGCATTGCTGAGGAACCGGACTGAAGTCGTCGTCTGTCTGAGCTCTTTGGGCTTCATGATGTCGCCATCTGCTGGTGATGGACTCAGGCCTCTAAACAAACATCAACTTCTGGCTTTGAAATAACTTTATCTCTGGCTCATGTACGGGCAGCATGGGGTGGGGCAGTCTGGGGACCCCAAAAGTATGCATGACCAACTGCTATACATGATCCAACATAGCTTAGAAATGCAATATTTAAGTTTAAAGTCTACATTTCGTCCTGTTTTCTGTTTTTACTATTTTCACTTCTCATTGTATTGAGTATGATCTATCCATAATCTCATGAAAATATTATTGGCCATTAAAATATAAAGCCTCGTTATGAATCTTTTGTGACAAAGTCATATGTTTTGGAACTAAATGTGGCATCATCCCAAGTTGTTTGAAAAGCACGTTGGGTGTGGTAATTCCTGGAAAACCACCGCCTACAAATAAAGTAAGTAAAGTGGCTCCTTCAGTTCATGGACTGACGGACCTCATCACAGAGCAGCTTTTCTTAACCTGGAGCTCTGGTAAGTCCTTTCCTAGCTTTGGTCAGGAATGCGCGTGATTGATGATTTGCTGGCAACAAAGAAAAGGACTTTTAGTTTTTATTTTATGATTTCAGTCGCTGCTCTGCAAAGCTGCATTTGAATGTGATGATGTGCACACAAAACTTCTCCAACTCTTAAAACTCTGATGTGTTTTTTTTAAAGCAGAAACGTCATTATTATGCTCAAGTGTGAAAGAAGCAGGATGATTGCTGATAAAGAAAAGAACGCATTTTTAATACAGAAACGTGTTGCACTTTTGCCTTTTGTCTCCAGTTTAGCGCCATTAAAATGAATGGAAATGCTTTTTTATTCTGTATTCTTCTGCTGAGCGTCACCTTATCCAGTGGTGAGTAAAACTGATTTCCCATTAAACTCAATTCTCTATTAATGTTACAATCTAAGCTGAACACAAGTGTAGTGTTGTTTGTTTAGTATTAGAACACACCTAAAACACATGTGCATGTGCATGCATGTTCTTGATGAGGTTGTCGCTTGTTTCCAAGGTTTCATAACCGCAAGAAACCATCAGTTGACAGTTTAAGGGTTACTTCATAAAGTTATCATGTCACAACGAATAAATAAATAATTATTACCACCACAGAATATTATGAGGATTCTCAGTATGTTGTTATGAGTTAGTTTACTAACAAGGCAGCCAATCACAAACGCATATAAGTCAGCTTTACAACCCAACACCGACTGGCTATCACGGTATGAGGTGTGCACATACAAAGAAAGGTTTCAGGTGTTTGCATCGAACATAGTAGTAATGCAAGTGCTAATAATGATGCACTTTCGTTTTATTTAATGCTTTATATATGTGCAATAATGAATCAAAAATAAAAATTCTTGTTTTTTGTCCAGAATTTATAAGGAAAACATTTATGGTCACAGCTCACTTAATTACTTTTCCTGTCCTGGGAGGAAATTCCATCCAGACATTTACTGTAGGGTCTACCTTACAATACAAAGTACCTTGAGGCAACTGTTGTTGTGATTTGGCCCTGTATAAATAAAACTGAATTGAATTCAAAGTAATGCTGAGGGGTTTTTTATAAGGTTTTTTTATGCATTTCTCTGCTCGAGTCAAACATGACCAGTCAGTCAAAAACAAGAGTAAATAAAGTAAATTCATTTTTTAAAAACAGGTTTGTTTGTTTGTTTAATAACTGCATGGTCTTAACTTAACCCTGGTCACTGTAAAGAACAGCTGATGTTGTAACGCTGTGTACAGTACTAACGCTGTCGAGACGTTTGCTCATATTGCTGTGAATTTCTGCAGCCTGTTACAGTCTCTAGAACGAACCACCGCTGATCTGATATCAGTATTTTTAAATAAAAGTGGGAAAATAGCTATATATCTGTTGTGCTGTGAAATCTACATGATCCTTCATCTTTCTCCATAAATCCCAAATAAATTGATTACACTGCATTGTTGTTCCTTTAGCCTATGAAGAAGGTTACATCAGGCTGGCTGGTGGCCAGGAATACTCCGAGGGCCGTGTGGAGATCTTTCACGATGGAGTTTGGGGGACGATTTGCGACGATGGCTGGGACATAAATGACGCTCATGTAGTGTGTCGACAGCTGCGTTTCCCTGGTGCAGCCGAGGCTCCTGGATCAGCTGCATTTGGCGCCGGTAACAAAACCACGACGCTCCTCTTACGCGCTGCATTTCAGTGGTTAATGGCTAGACTGTAATTGTGTGGCTGTTTTGGTTTTAGGGGTCGGTAACATCTGGATGGACGATTTAACCTGCGGTGGGTCGGAGATTAACCTACTCCAGTGTACGTTTCCTGGCTGGGGGGTCCATAACTGTGGTCACGGCGAAGATGCCGGAGTTAGATGTGAGAAAGGTGAGGATGTTAGCATAAGGACAGAAGTCTCCAACCTCCTCTGAGAAATAAAGGTCAGAAAGACATTTGTCTTAGAAACAGGTGTATTAACCGTGTCTATGTTGATCTGTATCAGGGGCGGAGCCTCAGAGCAGGGACCTCAACCACGAGTACACGTTGGACCACAATGCGAGCCTCTCTCAGCAGCTAGGCGAGCTGTTTGACAGCAGACAGGACTGTGACGTGGACATTGCAGTGGCAGTGGATAACAACATAGTGGAGACCATCTGTGCTCACAGGGTCATCCTTTCTCTCAATTCAAACCTCAAGGCTTTGCATCCAGACCTCAGCAGCTTGCTCATTAACGTGTCTTCTGATTGCAGCCAACATGCCGATATATTTGTCAGGTATAAAAAGTTCACACTTGCACATATTTCTACGTAAACCTGTGATCTGTCAATCAAATTTTTGAATTTCAGATACTTCTACACGAGGAAGATTACGGTCACATTAGCCTCCTCCCACTGCATCCTGAAAATGGCTTCTGACTGGGGCCTGACTGAATATCACAATGAGGCTGCGAATCTCTTCAGACTGTTTCTCCCCGAGGACCCCACCTTCCAAAGTCAGAACTCTCTTTATGAGTACGCAGTTCGCAGAAGTGACGACACGCTGCAGCAACTATGTCTTCGCTACCTGGCGTGGAACTGCGAGGCGCTGATCAACTCCCCGGCCTGGACAAGCCTTCCTTTTAATCTGGTCAAAGCACTCCTTTCTCGCTCAGACCTCGTGGTGCGTAACGAAACAGTCGTCCTGAGCGGACTGGAGAGATGGGCAGAAGCTCGAGGAAACGCAACCATGCGTGAGATACTTCTAAATCTCGTCCGCTTCCCGATGATACCAGCTGAGGACTTATACAGTCTTGACAGCTCAGAGTACCACGCTAGCAAGCTGGAGGGGTTTCAGTTTAATGCTCTTCCTGTAAAAATGCTCCTCAGCGACCTGACAGGAACCATCTACACACCCAGGATTTACACTGGCAGACCGTGGAGCTTCACCTTCAGCAGTCAGGAGATCCGAGCTTACCAGCACTCCGGGGTCTACATCCTTCGAGGGCAGCGAGTCAGCAGCCTGACGTCTGATTTCCAAACCCCGGTTCATAACAGCGCCTATTTCGCTTTTCACACCATGCGCTGGAAAGTCACGGCCTACGTCAGACAGGAAGACTGCACGAAGCAAAGTGTCACATGTGCTTCTTTACCAGCGATCAGCTTGAAGATTGAAGAAAAGAATTTACCCAGTGAGATGGAGGGCCGCATCCGTTACAGCAACAGGCTCATTCTCATGTGCGCAGGAAGGCACGTGTTCCACGTGAACGAATTTAATGCTGTTGACAGCGACAGCCCCATAGCTGTTCCCAGCATCTCAGAACAAGTCTACCCGTGCCACTCAAACCTGTTCTCCTACCAGGTGGTGGTACGTCCTCAGTACTCAACAGATTAGATCTGACTAGAGAACTTAAGAGAAGGAGGGTGTGCGTCAGCGCAAGAACTGCACGCACATAATGCTTTCGGCTCTCTCCTCCTTACGTGCAGCAGCTGCAAGTGGAAACCTCACAGTGAAAATTAAGGTGGATCCTGGAGCAGGTAGAATTGACTTCATGCAAGTTTTCTAAACATGAGCCAGCTTGTCCTGTAGTTGCTGTGGAATGCATCGCTGTGGCTTGTTTGGGCACATGGCGCTACTGTAAACCTGGGCAGAGAGCAGTATCACCGCATTTCTATCTGATGATAAGTGAAAAAATAATTAAAAAAAAAGGTCTGGTCTACTGTTATAATCACTCTGTCTGCAGAAGGCCATGCATTTCTTTTATTATGCAAAATATGTGTAATCAGATTACAGTGTATACACTTCTGTAATGTATTTGATTCACTGAAAATATTTATTGTCACTGCCATGACAACAGTCCAGCAGTCTTAGCACAATCTGTCTGTCCTATACAAATACAGTAGAATGATAGAATAGAGACAGTTATTAATAATACCTGTTAAAATCCGCTGTGTGTAACAGAGCGTTTAAACATACTGCAGGCTGCCTCCTCCTATGGTGTCAGTTTGAAAATCCTTCATCACCCATGTCTCAAATTATCGCATTCACAAGACTTTTTTGAGGTCAAGGTCACTGAGATTTGAATTCATCCAAGATTTTGTGTAGATACACCTGCTGCCCACCCGCCCCACGGTGGGGTGATAATGATACCAAAGGCTGATGGATTGAAAATAAAGATTTAAGAAAAAAAACAAACTCTTTTGCAATGAAGTTACAAGTTAAGTTATGTAAGTACAAATGTATGATTGCTAAATCATTTAGGAGACGTGTTTTATGTCATCAAATTATTTCAGCTAATTTTAACACGGTACGGAGGCATTCACATGAACTCTGCTGCTGTTAGTTTCTGTTGGTTTTTAAGTGTTTTAAAGAGTTTTCTCCACTAAGGTACGAAATAAATTCTTCTTGCACTTCTTTAAATGGGACCGGTGTCAAAATCATAAACACTTTTATTTTATGGAGCTGGTTTTTAGATCCTGCCGAGCTTAATTCAACAAAAACAGGCAGAAACCTTTCTGATAAACAACGCTTCTCATTTCCTGACTTTAATGTTTTGAATACTGTGACTAAAGTAAAGGGTCTAAATCAGCGGTCTCAAACTCAAATGAGCTGTGGGCCACGGGTGGCACTGTCGTCTCATTGGAGGGCCACTTTAGTGTTCAAGTAGTACAAAAAACCCAGCCAAACAAACAACAAAACACTTGATATTGTATAACAAATCAAAACTGCAAACACGGGCTTATTTTTTTTCTCACTCTTAACTAACTGAAGCCTTTCATTGAACTACCAAAAAAACACATTGGTTCTCTCGTTCTAGTCAGACATGCGGCAGCACTTCTGCTATACTTTTGTTTGTATTTAACAAAATAAAAATGCAGATATAAGTGTACACATTAGTTTTTGTTCTCTCACCTAACTAACACTGTCTGTACTCTCTGCTCATAGTTCCTTCATATGAAATTATTTTTGCCTTTTTAAAGAACTTATTTTAACATTGCACTCAACAACAAACAAATCCTCCCTAACAAAAAAAAAAGTCCCTTCAAGGGCCAAATTGTGTTACATTTCTCACGTCAATGTACGGGCCGCAAATAGGGGTGACGTGGCCGCAAGATTAAAACCCCTGGTCTAAATGCTTGAGATCAGAGCCCCTCTCCACTGAACACCAGAGAACGGCCAGCTGCGCTCGGAGCTGCCAGCAGGGGGCGGCATACGGTTGGCCCGGTGAGGAGGACAGGCTGCTGGAGGTTTGCTGCCCTCCGCCGGCAGCTTCCCGGTAAATGTGCTCGGTGTCGGAGATAAAGGAGGAACCGCTCGGTCGCTTCCGGTGACTGAGAGCTCCGCGGTTTCTGCACGATCCCGCCGACGCACAACTCACCGAACGGCACCCGCTGCACGTGCACGCGCACGCGGCAGCGCTTCGTGGTGTTGGCGGAGAAAAGCGTCACGGTTCGTGTTTCTGTGAGCTGGTCTGACAGGGTTCCTGCTCCACGGTGACACAAAGCGCGGATAACGGCACGGCACGCTGTGGAACATAGAGAGAGAGCGGGGGGAAAGCAGAGGGCGGTGGGGGGGACGGTAAAGCAGCACAACGAGGAAACCAGCCGCGCAGCCGCGGACGCCTTCAGCTCGTTCTCAACAACCACCGGACACGGACCGGGAACGAGCCGCTCACACCGGGCCGCGCACAGGCTCGCTCCCTGAGACATGGGTGAGGATAACGGAGCTCTGGGTGAGGGTGCGGGGTGAGGGGGTGAGCGGCAGGCCCGTTGTCAAGTAGCAGGAAACAAAGGCCCGCCGATCTCGTGAATCCACGAAGGGCCAGTTTCGGTTTCCTCTTCATCACGTGTGCACACGCTTATTATCATTGAGCTCCTGCGGTTATGGAGGATGCAGGCTGCCATGACGCTGTCAGTAATGCGCGTTTGTTTGTTCTGCCTCTGAAACACAGTCAGTCTACACATACACACACGTAAACGCAGCAATGTGCCATTCACAGCCTGCTGCATGAGAACACGGTTCATGCATTGTACCAAGCCAGCATCCCAGTTTTGCTTTGTGCTTCCCTAGGGTCAGAGCCTCCCAGCTCTCCACAGGTGGTGGAGGATGGAGGAGAGGAGGATGAGGAGGAGCTGAGCGGAGGGGAGGAGGCAGACTTGCGGTCCAGCTCAGGCCGGGGCTCCCTGCTCACCCGCAGGGGCATCACCCTCAGAGTGCTCCTCAAGGATGGCCTGGTGGAGCCCGGGGACGGCGTGCTAGCCATACACTATCTGGTAATAACACGTAGCAGTTATGTGAACATGATTCTGACTCACCACAGTATGCGTGACCTGACAGGAGGTCATAAACTCTTGCTTTCTCTTCTCCTGCAGGGTAAGAACTTTGTGGGAGACCTGCTGACTGATGGGAAAATCCGATGGGTGGAGACGGGCCAGATCTTCAACTCCCCCAGCGCCTGGGCGACTCACTGCAAACGCCTGGTGAACCCGGCCAAAAAGTCTGGCTGCGGCTGGGCGTCGGTGCGGTACCGGGGACAGAAGCTGGTCCAGTACAAAACCACCTGGCTGCACAAGTACCAGCCCAGTGCCGACATGGTGAGAGGAGCATGACTGAAGGGGAGCATTCCTAATATTTGGTGCTTCCATTACAAAATGTATTTTGTGTAAAAATGGGTTAGTACAGATTTCTAAGCCTATTTTATTATCCTTGCTTTTAGACTTTAAACTGAGTTTTTAATGTTCAAAGTCTAATAATTAAGTCACGACCTTGAGTTTCCTCTCACCTGTGTTACTCATGAACACGTCCCCTCGCTGCTCCTCTGGTCACATGACTTACAGGAAGTAATATCTGTGAGAGTATCACTCTTTCACAAAGCTCTTTTTCCATGTTTCACTGATGAGGTAAAGCACAACACATCCACCTTGTGACGCTTGTTTACAGTATAAACAACTCTTATTTTTAGTGACTGTGATGAATACAAGAAAAAATTATTGTAAACACAGATGTCAAAGTAAAACTCAGAACAGGCATAAGAAATGAACAGTATTACTTAAAGCGTGAAGGTTTAGACATTTCTAAAATGATTACTTAGTAGACGTTATAAACATTTAAACCTTTACAGGATTATAATTTCTTAACCGTGTGAAGAGGTTAGTTTTTCTTTTCTTATCTAATACATGAAATTTCAGCTCTGGCAGTGAAACCACGTAAAAACTGCATGTTGTCGTGGTGTAACACAGGGCCAGCATCCATTGTGACATAAGCATCGTTATGTCCTGTCCAGCCTGTCGCCTGCAAATGAAATAAGACACTGAAACGATTTCAGAATGTAAAAATAAAAAAATGGTGGTTAGCATTGTTGCCCCATAGCGAGAAAGTCCTCGTTCAATTCCACCAGGTCAGGGTGTTCCTGTGTGGAGTTTGCATGTTCTCCCCATGTTTCCGGGTACTCCGACTTCCCCCCACAGTCCAAAGACATAAAGTTAGTGGGGATGTTGTGAGTCTATTGTACTGTTGGATATTTAAAAAGAGAAAGAAATATGTACATATATATATAAACCAGTGTCCAGCTTCATGCCGACCACAGAGCTAGCCTTCCTGATTAGTTTTTCCAGCCTGGATGAGTCCTTCTTTGCTGTGCTGCTCCCCCAGCACACCACAGCATAGAACAGCACTCCGGCAACCACCGACTGGCAAAACATCCTCAGGAGCTTCCTGCAGATGTTAAAAGACCTCAGTCTCCTGAGGAAGTACAGTCTTCCTTGGCCTTTTTTATACAGGTGCTGCATGACCAGTCCAGTTTGTTGTTCAACCAAAGCCCACGGTACTTGTACGTGTTGACCACCTCTACCTCCTCTCCCTCTATCTGAACTGGCAGTGGATCTGCTCTGGACCTCCCGAGGTCCACATCCAGTTCCTTGGTCTTCGAGGTGTTGAGTTGCAGGTGGTTTGTGTGACTCCATGTGACAAAGTTCCTCACCAGACTCCTGTACTCCTCTTTCTGGTCATCCCAGATACACCCCACGATGGCCCTGTCGTCCGCAAACTTCTGAATATGGCATAATTCAGAGTTATAGCAGAAGTCAGAGGTGTACAGGGTGAAGAGAAGAGGGGACAGCACAGTTCCCTGTGGTTCTCCTGCACTGCTGACCACAGTGTCAGACGTGATGTCCTTCAGTGACATACTGTTGTCTGTCAGTGAGGTAGTTGGAGATTCAAGTGACCAGGCAGGGGTCTCCACCTGCATCCTGTCCAGTTTCTCCTGGAGCAGACCGTGCCGGATTTTATTCAAGGCACTTGACAAGTCAAGAAAGGATCCTGACCGTGCCTTTTCCCTTGTCCAGGTTTGAGTGGGTTCTGTGTAGGAGGTACAGGATGGTGTCCTTCACTCCGACATCCACCTTGTATGCGAACTGTAGTGGGTCCTGGGTATGTTGTACCTGTGGTTGGAGGGGGTTGAGGAAGAGCCGCTCTAGAGTCTTTATAAGATGTGACGTCAGTGCCACCGGTTGGAAGTTATTCAGCTCGTTGTGCTGGTTCTTTTTGGGGACCGGGACGATGCAGGATGTCTTCCAGAGGGCGGGCACTCTCCTCAGTAGCAGACTGAGGTTGAAGACTCTTTGTAGCGGCTCCCCAAGTTCAGCAGCACACGCCTTTAGCATCCTAGGACACACCTTGTCTGGGCCTGCTGCCTTCTGGGGCGAAGCTTCCTCAGTTGTCTCCTGACCTGATCCACTGTGACACTGGGGAGTTGGGAGGAAGTTTGAATGATTGTCTGTGTGTGTGTGTGTGTGTGTGTGTTAGCCCTGTGACAGACTGGCAACCTGTCCAGGGTGAACCCCGCCTCTCACCCTAAAGACAGCTGTGATAGGCTCCAGCCCACCCGTGACGCTGACAAGGATAAGCGGCAGAGGATGGATGGATGGAAAATCCTTTTAATCACACTTTGAAATACATTGTGTCCTTTTTTCAGACACTTATTTATTAACAGCCTCTGAACCACGTCTGCAGGGTGACATCGGGGACATTTTGTCTCTTAGAAAATGTAAATGTGAAAGCGAGCCCACATTCAAAACATTTATTAACTTCCTGTAACAGGAGGAACACTTGACCCGTGTCACATCGTGAGCTGGACCAGTATATATTTTTCTCACAGTTTAAAATTCCCGGTTTGCAGCAATGTGGAGTGATGGTATAAGTACTCGGAAAGACCCTTTTAAACAGATGTGGTGTTAAAAATAAGGAGTGGTTCCAAGGTTTTGTCAAAGGGCGATCGAGCCTTTAAACGTATTAAAACTGGCCAGGCCGTGAAAATAGAATAAAGGTTGTGGTTTGACCCGACAATTAGCTAGTGCTGACTCACATGCTGACGGGAAAAAAGGAAACGTAAAGAAGAAGAAAAATGTGATGGTGAAATCGATTTGGAGTCTCTGCAAACAGGAAACGATGAAACATTCATTACAGTAAGGTAAATCCAGTGTAACCAGAACTTTATTTTGACATTTGTTTTACTTCCTGTGATGTCAGAGCTTGGTGAGTGAGGAAGATGATGACGAGGATGAAGAGGAAGGAAAGGCAGCTGTGCAGGCAGACGACAAGAACAAAAACACCAAACCTGGACTACATGGTATCATTTCCTCCTCTCCTCCTCCTCCTCTCCTCCCCGCTCCCCTCCTCTCATTCTCATCTGTTCGATGTTACAGA